CAACTAACGAACGACGACGACGACGACACGACGACCGACGACCTAACACGACCGTACCACACGTACGACACACACACACACACACACACACACACACACACACACACACACACACACACACACACACACACGCACCCACGCACTCACACACACACGCGCGCACACGCACATACAATAATACACTCACTCCCACCCACACAGTCGTACCCACACACGCACACTCACACGCGCGTGTAAGGGGAACACGTAGAGGGGAATGCGAGTAATGTCACTGTCACACAGGAAGCGTTCGCACATCGCGCACGTATACCATCAATTACCGGCGGTCGTTCGCCGTGCACGCAGCGCCGTCATTTCAAGCAGCGGAATCCTGAATTACGACCCGAAACCAGCAGTAAACTAATCGCGATAATCTTACAGGTGTCGTTGCACGACGCGTGACTACAAACTGCGCGCGGGTAATTACAGTGATGAACAATGATCTACAACAACGCCGCGCGACGTTTGTTAGCGGACAGAAACGGGGGCTGAAGCCAAGCCGTGTTAACACCTCACAGCGACGCAATCGTGAATAAAAGTAGAACGAGAGATTCTTCGCATTCCGCGACACAGTGTGTACAAACCCCAGACCGAGTACTACCAATTAGTAATACCCCTGAGATGTATGAGATGAGAAATTATTGGGGTGCAGGCACGGTGCGGAGAAGAAATACAATGAAAAGCCAAAGAAGCTGATAGCTCTCTTTCGGAGAAAACAGGTTAGAAGGCTTCGTTGCTTATTCGCAATGCACACATATTTAACAGGCGCTATGCTTTTATGTCGTTGTAATTATACTGCCTCCGCACACTTAACACAACTTCGATGCATGAATATATTTACTAACGAGGAGTGAAGCGGCTGACGCGCGAGTTCGGTGACAGCGTGACCTATGTATAGGATGCCGCGCGCCAGCTCGCAAGCTCAATGTCCGCCCCCGCAAGCTTAAGCAAGCAGATGTTCACAGCACCTGCTCATGCTACGATGACCCGCGAGTGCGGGGCAAAGTTCATCACTCTTGTCCTTGTTTTCTCTAAGCTTCTTCCAAACAACCTCGTCAGGTGTGGCTCTCACTCGCGCCGCTGTTCGCGGGCGGGCGGGCGAGATAAGACACGCAGCTGTTCTGGAGATGACAAGCTGTCCCGACAGACACACTACTACTACGGTTTGTTGCCCCTCTAGTAACTTCCTGCAATCCTGCAGTATACCAGTGGCCGCGACAAGCGTTCTGCTTGTTAGGCTTCCAACGCGCATCTTTGCTTCAGCTGCCGTTAGTATAGCACGAAGATGACAACGAAAGAACGTTTTCACAGCAGACCTGCTACGTGTGGGTCCAAAGTCCATAAATACAAATTGACACCTTATTATATTTTTACATTTTTTGTTTATCTCTCTCTGTCTGTCTCTCTCTCTCTATCTCTCTTTCTCTCTCTCTCTCACTCTCTCTCTCTCTCTCTCTCTCTCTCTCTCTCTCTCTATATATATATATATATATATATATATATATATATATATATCAAGTATATATATAATTTAGTTTAGCGCTATCCCTCGTTTCTGAGTGATTTCCTCCGGCAGGTGATGGCTGCCCGAGTCATCATACAGATTAGCCTCCGATTATCTTGCCATGTTAACCACCGTTTAAAGGATTAAGAAGACGCATAAATAGGCAATCAACGATTGCCGATTACGGTGGGTCGATGTGGCTAAGGAAACGTGTAGCAGACAGAGGAAGAGGCCATAATATGCCTTCCGTGGCAGCGTCACAATCTAGCGCAAAGATAGCCTACAATGTATTGCGTTCCATCACTGTGTTCCTTTATCTTGTGCTCTTTATTATTCGGTGTCCTCTTCTCTGCATCGCCATATTTCTCTATCTCTTGTTCGCGCGCGCGCTCTCTCTCTCTTTCTCTTGTTCGCGCGCGCGCTCTCTCTCTCTTTACTTTCTCTCTCACTCGCTCGCTCTGTCGCCGTCGCTCGCTCTGTCGCGCGCTTTAGCTGTTTTGTTAGCTTGTTTAATTTGTCTTCGCGTTCTGTCTTCCTCGCTCTTCGCGTATGTTTTCCATGTATATCTGCTACACTCTTATCCCTTATACTTTATAATTATTATTCTTTCTCTTACCCTTTCTCTTCTACTGACGCCCCGCCCCTCTCTCCTTCTCTGTAACACATATACACTCTCCCCCTCTCTCTGTGTCTGCCTGCCTGTCCTCTCTAGTTCATTAAGCAAAATGTTGACCTTCTGACGTACTTGAAATAAATTACATACGCGCGTGCATGTGTGTATGCGCGCGCGTGCTTGTGTGTGTACGCGTGTGTCTGTCTGTGCACGCGTGTGTTTGATAGAAAATCGCATGCACCTGGCTCCGCATCATATGCCGCTCTGGAGCGCTCTTGACAACAAAGGGCCCTGAGGGAATGCTGACACAATGTTTGTTTAGTGTGCAGGGGAGCGTAATGCCATGTCAGAACATCGGGCCGTGTACCGTTATTCTCATTGTAGTTCTGCTAGCCGTATCTGTAAAACCTAGGAAACACTGCAATGGCATTCCAGCGACTCTGGAGGCAGGCGAGTGTAAATGCTGATATTGCATCGCAAGTTTTTACATGCTAAACTGGAACTAATGTTCAGAATTGTAATTTTAATCTCTCTGAAATTCCGAGATTAGATCCCGTCTTTCGTTCATTAGGCAGAATGTTGCTCTTCAACGCTCTTGAAGTAAATTACGTGCACGAGTGTGTGTGGGCGTCAGTCTGTACATGTATGTTTCGTCGCAATACCACAATTTTAATATATTTTGCAAATTAATTTTTAGTGAACTTAGTAAAACAACACGCGTGCGCTGTTAACTGTGACGCGCAGTGTAGCATTAGTGGTAAGGTTTCGGTAAAATGTTTTAATTACAAGGAGTAAGCGGTAACCTCAAATAATTCATGTCAACTTCTGGCAGTGAAGAGCGAGCCTTGATCAGGTGGTCGGAAGAGAAGTAATTCCACAGTTTTTACTCCGGCGTTAGCCTACGCCGGCGCGCGTCTGCATTATTAAGGTGTTTCGAAATGGCGCACAGGTGTACGCATGGGGACAGGTGAGCCAGGTAGAGAACAATGGCTAACGGAGTTGTCAGCACGGCTGGCTGCACTGGTAATCGGCCGCCGGCAGGCTCTAGTCAGCAGCTAGGCTGACACGCGCACCGCCCCCACGCCAAACATCATCAGCGACAGGTCGGTCGGTAGTAACAGCACCAGCACCAGCAGCAACAACAACAACAACAACAACAACAACAACAACAACAACAACAACAACAACAACAACAACATATGCAGCAGCAACTATAACAACAGCAGTAGCAACACCACCCATACTGCTAAAATAATCTGTATGCGCGTGCGCGTGCGTGCGCGTGGACAGGCGTGTGCCGCTGTGGCACGCATGGGCGCGATACGGCACACGCGCGTGACCTGAGGCTGGGTGATGGTGGGGGCCGACAGACAGGTACAGTAATATAGTGCTAAGCACACCCGTGCTGTCTAGCACATCCGTCCATCCGCCGACGTATTTGCTTTTGGCCGCGTCGCCGCTTATGCGAGCAAAACGCGATATTATTGCACGCAAATGTGAGAGTTCGCGATAGATTCTGTTTGCAAACACGCACAGTGTAAAGCTTGCTACTGCTGCTGCTACTGCGCTGCTGCCGCTGCTGAATGGTTGCCTTTATACAAACAAAACGCCAACAAGCGGACGAGCATGCAACTTCACACAAAGGTTTGCTATTTTCCCGATGAACACGCGTTCGCGTTTCAAAAAGCAGGAACGGAAACCGAAACACACATGAGAAATATAATAAGGAGAATATAGAGTGAATGGCCAGGGTGAATAGAGAGAACTTGTACAGGTACTTGTATCCATACGTATTGTGTATGCAAAACCACGCACGTAGAATTATCTAGGACATCGTAAGAAACACATGTTCAGGAGTGAATAAAAAATAATTTTTATTTGCTTACTTGTTTGTTATTAAAATTGTTTTTTTAATTAATTTTCTAATATTTTCTTTGTTTTTATTCACTCCTGATTTGACGAGTATATTTATATACGTACCCTGCATGTAATACCATGTAGAAGATGAATCTCCAGAGCTCTATCCGCCTATCCGGTCGGTATATGAATATGTTGTCTATTGGAACTGGACCCGTTGTTGTTACCTCCCCTGCCATAATGGCATAATATGCAAAAAACCCTAACTGCAAAACAGAAAAAAAAGACAGCAGAACGAAATTAGTACGTGATCAACGATTAATGATCGACATCTTTTCGAGCTTATAGGCACCTGTGTGTCCACACACAGACACATATTGGCGCCGAGCTGAAAAGTAAATAGGCTATAAGTTTATTTTCGAAAAAAAGGCTCGCGAAGCGGGCAGCCTGTACATGCGCGACACCTGGGATGAATCGGACGCTTTTGGAAGCTGGACATTCCTTCGAACACAAACAGATTTCGGGCGGGGGGAAATCTAATCCCAAAACAGGCAATCGCTAAATAAACTCAGGCCTCGGACGCCGATGTCGGTGTTTGCGTTGTGTCGGCGAGAGGGCCGGGCCGAGCGAGCGCCAAAGAGCGAGCGCGATCGCACCGTCTTACTGACCAGTTGTTAAAAGAGCGCGCAAAGTGCCGGCTCGGATTTTGTTATTCTTTGGGATCAGCTCGCTTTCCCCCGCGCTGACCCGCGATGGCGGTACCCCGGCGCGGCACATGCTTAACACAGACAAATATTCGCTTAATTTTCGCTTATTGAGTGGCGACCGGGTGCGAAAACGTACTCTCGGGCAAAAGGGAGTGGGAGTGAAAAGAACTATTGGTGAGTATAAGGGGAATGAGATGCGGAAAGATAGGGACATTCGTTAGAAACATTCTCTGGTTTCTTTTGTTGCACTGAAAACATGTAGGAAAGCTAACTTATCGTA